AATGGAGGAGCTGAAGAAGCAAATTACCTTAAAAAAAAAAGTGGAGGAGCTGAACCATGTTGGTCCTCTTCTACCTTGAAAATTTGATGAAGTAAGTCAGCCTTGAACACACTCCAAAAAAGAACTATTGTCAAAATAGATTTCTTAATTTTGAGGGAAAGTTTTTAACTATGCAAGAAGGACCAAAGATAAATGGTATCTGGTTCCTAAAGAAACAAGCTAAGAAAGTATTCCCAGTCTGTTTATTTTTATGTCACTCTGAAATTTTTTTTAAAAAAATCTATTTCCAGTTCCTCTGCACCAGCTCAAATACGCCTTTATTTTTTCAAGAAACATGTATTAAACATCTCCTGTGTACTCAGCCCCATATGAGGTGCTGTTACTGAATGTCAAAGAACTCGAGAGTCTGGTCATGGAAAAGAGAAAGCAGCCCTTAAACAGCATGTTTCAGAACCCTGTCCCTCAGGCAGCCAGGGCCCTCTTGGCTGTCGATGCGTTTGATGTGGCAGTCCTCAGATGTTGATTTTGTCCTGGGTTCTGCATCATCATTGGGCTCTGGAGCTGGCCTCAGCAGCACCCTCTCCACTCCTGCACCCAGGTGTTATCCCACAGCTACTTACTTCTGGGTCCCTTTGCTCCGTGCAGGCAGCCCTCTTGGACAGGGCTCCATCCAGATGGCTGCAGCCAGATCACACTCTGAGGCAGCTCCTTGACTCATGGGAAACACACACATACACTACAAGGGTGGGTTGCCCTACCACCGGCCTCACCCTGCTGGCAAGGGCTGCCCCAGGTAGCCTCCGGCCAGGAAAGAAGCAGGCATCACTATGTTTCACTTAGGACCACAAACATCACCTGTCAAGCTGCCCCAAGGACTCTCTCACAAAGGGCTCCTACCCGGTGCACCGAGATGAGCCTCATAAGTCACTGCGCCTGGGCAAGCATCCCTCCAGGGAGTGAGATAACAAGCTCTCGTTACTGGCACCTCCAGTTTCTGTGCGTGGTTCTCTTGGAGCACCCACCATCCTTCACTGGGCATGAGGAAGAAGGCAGCTCCCTCTGCCCTCCCCCCCCAGGAGGAAGGAAGGGGACATCAAATACTTGCTCTCTTCATCCTGTGATTCCTACAGACACCAGGCTTCTGCCTCTGTAGGCAGAATAGGGCATGAGGGTGAGTACGGAAGGACCATTTTGGCTGCCTTTCAGCAAGCCGTAGAGGGATGGCCTCGCAGCACTCTCGCAGGCTTGGTGTTACTTCCTATTGGCCTTAGCTCTGGGCTCCAGCTGAAGGTCCAAGACAACAGGGGAAGTCCCAAATCACATCATTCTAGATAGTCTTTATACATGCTGCAGCCTTCATTTGTTCTCAAAACCCAGCCACATCTCACTCCAAAGCCACCTAGACTTGAACTTTGAATCCATAAGAATGAGAAGTTGAAAAGCTACATATTTCTGACTACTGTTTTAAAACACTAATGTTACATTGCATTAAAGCATTCCTCCATGGAGGACTTTCTCTTTACCTGCTTTGCCCCATTTCTCAAATGGTTTGTATTTGTTGTGGGTATCGCTAAAATATTGTGAGTCCCGAAGGCAAAAAACCCAGTCCCAGAAATTGAAGAGGGAGATGAAGGTTGGCATGTCATGCATGCACATCCAGATCGTCTCCAACTTGGGCTCACTCAACTGAGATCCCTTCCAGTTGATAGCACTGGGGGCAAAACAACTCTGAGGTTCTCAACGGGGTCCAGCTGGCATAGGTTTCTGGGCCTTTGGCTGTATGTCTTTGGAATTTGGGAGTTCTTTGAGGACAAGAACTGTCCTCTTTTTCATTTTGGTAACCCCAGTAAATAGAACTGCACTGCCCAGTGCATAGTAGGAGCTCAGTTGGTAGATGGATGGATGAGTCAACAAGGGCTCACTTCTGCTGGTGACAAAGTGAGCCCCTCCCCTCTCTGCCCCTTCCTACCATGGTTCTTACTTGCTCTTCTGCTTCATGAGCAAGCGGTTGAGATTCACCATCTCTCCTTAGCTATCCATTGTGTCCAGTGCCTGCCTGGACTGCTCCAGTCCTGGGCTCTTCTAGGAGCTGGAGGGGCAGAGTCCAGTGCCCCCACCTCAGACAGAAGAGCCCTTCTTTTAATTCCTTCTACTGCTTCTGCCTTGATGGGAAGCACCCAACCTCTCCCTCGTCCCACCACTAGTCCCACTGCACTTTGGGGAAATATGTGATGAACTATATCAGGCCAGACCAAAGAAGCAGAGGAAAATTTGGTCTGAGCACTTTTTGGGGAGCAGGGCCCTAAAAATGTTGACCCTCCAGGCATCTGTATGCCACCTGTGAAGTGGCTGTAAGGCTAGAACAGTGGGTCTCGCTTTACTACTCTGTGCCTCAGTTCCCTCATCTGTAAAGTGGGAATAATAAGGGTATCAACCTGATAGGGTTGTCTGAGGTTAAACGAGGGACTATAAAGCATTTTCACTAATAACTAGCATCTAGTAAGTGTTCAATAACGGTAGCAATTCTTACTGTTGGTACAACTACTGTTACTCTCAGAAGTTAGTACTTGTGCATAAGATTTCCAAATACCTAAGGAGTTTATTAAAATACAGATTTCTGGACCCCCTTTGCAAATTCTGATTCAGTAGGTCTGGAGTGGGGCCCAGGACTCTCGATGTTTAACAGCTCCAGCTGGTGCTGCTGCAGGTCCTCAAGAAAACACACTGACATAAGACCTAGGGAATTTTTCAACTTCTGGTTCCTTACTTTTTGGTGGGTTGGTTTTTTTCTTCTATTTTATATTGCATATGTACAGTATTTCATTTATCTCTGTAGGCTAGTCTGGGAACCTAACACTATAGATAACATTATTTCTATGGGAAAATCTATTCGCTAGTTCCAAACTTCAAAATGTACAGTCCTTAGAGATAGAAGCCATTCAGAGGATGAAGACTGCCCATGTGCATTCTACAGGGATTTGGGTGAACTTTTGTGAGCCAGCCACATATCACTAGTTCCCTAAATGTTAACACAGTTGATCTCTGAACACCGCGGAGGTTAGGGGGGCCCACCCCTGCGTAATCAGAAATCCACATATAACTTTCGCTCCCCCAAAAACTTAACTATTAATATCCTAGTGTTGACCAAAAGCCTTAGCAATAACATATAACAGTCGATTAACACATATTTTGTATATGTATTATATACTGAATTCTTACCATTAAGTAAACTAGAGAAAAGAAAATGGTATTAAGAAAATCATAAGAGGGACACCTGGCTGGCTCAGTCAGTAGAGCATGTGACTCTTGATCTTGAGTTTGAGCCCCACATTGGGCATAGAGTTTACTTTGTAAAGTAAATAAGGAAAAAGACCCCTTCTCATTTTCTAGAGGAGAGGGAACATGGGGGGAATAGAAAACTTGCCTAGAGACTCCTTGCGCTTAACAAGCTGGCAAATGGATACATAACTTTCTATAAAATTGTAATACCCGCTACTGATCTACAGATGAGGGTATAGGGAGATGGGTACTCAGTGCTGATGATATTGTAATTGGGGCAACCTTTAAAAAAAAATAATAAGGAAGATGGGCGCCTGGGTGGCTCAGTTGGTTAAGCGTCTGCCTTCGGCTCAGGTCATGATCTTAGGGACCTGGGATTGAGCCCTGCATCTGGCTCTCTGCTCAGCGGGGAGTCTGCTACTCCCTCTATGATCTCTCTCTTTCTCTCTCAAATAAATAAAATCTTTAAAAAAAATGACAAGAAAGAGAAAATACATTTAGAGTACTGTACTGTGTTTATTGGGGGAAAAAAACCCGCAGTAAGTAGACCCATGCAGTTCAGACCCATGCTGTTCAAGGGTCAACTGTATAATATTTTAAACAGCATTTTACTAGCCTACTTACACTGTGCATTTAACCTCTGATTTAGTAGTACTTTCTGAAAGCCCTCATTTAAAAATGGTCACTGTTCTATCTTCACAGTGTTCTCATTGGGCATCTTTGTCATTATGTATTTATCATAAGGCATTTTTATGTATTTATCATAAGACTTTATCTTGCATCATTATAAACAAATCTAACTGTAACCTGAAGGATGTTTACAGTCAGTATTTGACCTGTACACCAGCATTGTGGCACATGGGAGGAGGGAAAAAAGAACTAAACAAAAACCAATGAAAAAAAAACCCCACCTATTTTAGAGAAGTTAGGAAATAGACATGGCAGACTAGCCAGAATCCATTTTAACTTTTCACTTTTCAAAGCAGATTGTCAAATGAGCCATTTTATTTGAGGTAGAAATTAATATTTTAATTGCATTTCTACCCTACAGAGATTTTTCCTTAAAGAATTAAATTAATTGTCTTCAGAAAGTCAAATTTTGGATCAGTTAGATTTGTGGCATTTTTGCAATCTATTTAGATTCTTTTCAGTGTCTTCTCATGCTCTGTGAATTTGCAAATTCAAAAGGAAAAAGTTCATGTCCTTGATTTCCTGCTGAAGGATGCCAGCACTGATACTGTTAATAAACAGCCTTAGTAAAACAAGCATAAACCTTTTGTGAGAACATTCCTTCCTAGAAGGAGTTGGGTTTGCCCTTTCCCAAGATTTAGATTTCGGTGAAAATTCTTTGAGATGTGTCTTGGCCAGAAAGCATTCTTTCATTTTGCTCTGTATCCATGTTAGTGACTATTGCTTCTACCAGAGGCAACAAAATATTGCAGTTCTGAAATAGTGATCGATTTTAAATGAGAAAGGAAATTGCCACATTGACAGAATCTTGGACCATCTATTTGAAGATGATTTTCTAAAACGATACGCATAAGACTCCTTGCAACAAGTTTCACTGAATGAGTAAGAGATTATTAATGGGAGGAGACCACTGAAATCATCAGCCAGCGTTTGTCAGAGGAAGATATTGTTTAGTGAAATAATAAATATGCAGCTCTGAACATTTAGCAAAGAATTATGAGTGTTGATCGGATTGTCTTCTTTGCTTTTAGCTGTATGACAAAATTAACACAAAGTCTTCACCACAAATCAGGAATCCTCCGAGTGATGCAGTACAGAGAGCCAAAGAGGTAAGTGATATATTTTGTAAATGTATCTGGGAGTCATATTTGCTACCTTTATTGAAAACATTTCTGCTGCTCAGTAAGAGGTAGTTTCCTTGGAGTCACAGTTGGACCATTACAGTCAGATTTAGTATTTCTAAGTTTATCACTGAACATTTTACATACAGGAAAGAAAGAAAAGCCTCAGGGACAACAATGCCTCGATTTCTAGTTCTGGTTCTGCTATGTAAACTTGAACATGTTAATATATCAGTTGTACTTCTCTCTTTTTTTTTTAAATAAGTTATTTTACTGTACTTGGTTGGAAATAGGCTATGAAAATTTGAGTTGCTTTTTTTAAGGTGGTAGTGTTTGGAAGTTAATTAAATATCTATAGCAATTAAGTATACTGAGTTTAGAGAAAAGTTGTTTTTATAAATTGTCGGCTAGTGTACATGGCTGTACCTGTTACCAACTTTTTTTTTTAATGTATTTTTTTTTTTTTTTAAGTAATCTCAACACCTAACATGGGGCTTGAACTCACAAGCCCAAGATCAAGAATCGCAGGCTCTGCTGACTGAGCCAGCCGGGCATCCCAACTTTTTTATTATAGAAATATGATATTGCAAAAAGTTTGGATAAGTAAAAATCCATCCATAATCCCAGCACCCTAACACAGTAATTTTCATTTCTGCATATACACTTCCAATCACTACCATTTGCATATAAATTTTATTTTCTCTTTTTTTGCATATAAATTTCATGTAGCTGCAATCAAAATATATTTTTTCTTACTTGATGTTATATAATCATTTTCCCAATGTTTATACTTGGTCTTCATAAGTATAAATTCTAATGAGGGGATAAATCTTCTTTGTTATTACTAAATCATAATGAATTAGCAACTCCATTGTTAGACATGTAGTTTTTTTTCTTTCACTTTTGATGTTACAAAAGTCTTATGCAAATTAATATTTCCCTTTAAAAACAGTTTTTATACAGTGAGACTACTAAGTAAAAAGAGTATGAAAGACAGAATCCCTTCCCTACCAGATTTTAAACACCACGCCTGCACTAGAGAGCATCGCATATTCACTGAGAAACAAAGACCAAGGGTGCTGCTGGACCTGCCCATGCAGTCAAGGGCACCAGCCAGGAGAGGTTCTCTCTGACTTACTTAGGGGATCACACCTCACTGTTTAAAATCACTGTGAGAGTAGCGGGGGACCAGAGAGAACACAGTTTCATCCTTCCATTTCACTGGTAGAGACACTCAAAGCATAAAATACACAGAGGAGAATTTGCTTAACTTCATTACACAGTATGAATTAACAGCATAACCAGCACTTGTTAAGGGTTCCTTTAGATAAGAAAGAAACCCTGTAGTGTTTGTTTGGTCTTTTTCCTTCTTCCCTGAGGGGGTGATTGAGTAGCACTTAGGTATGCCTGGGAAATCTAAGCCTTAGAGGTCATCTAAATGACCCCTTATCTTAATGCTCCTTCTTGCCCCAGTGTTAAGCTTCTCCAAGATAAGGCGAGAGAGTCCTCTGGGTGGATGACTTGTGTGCCCCTGACACCCAGTCCTGCTGAAGCAATCTTTGATTGGCTCAACTTTAGGAACTGAGTGCAATGTGTTTAACTACTCTGTGAGTCCAACCATCTACGGTTAGAACTACAGCCGTATGTTTACTCTGGGGGGCCGGGGTGGGGGGCGAACAGCAGAGGCTTTCCTCTGGGTCTCCTGTCACATAGTCAAATTTTAAATGGAGAAACTCCATCCTGATGGTAACGGGTAACTTTTAGAGTGGAAAGAGAAGTTTTCAGTGGTTTTTGGTTTTAACTGTTCTCTTGGATTCCCTGGCAGCTGATGCTAGGAACTATTCGCAGAAGCATGATGTCCTCTATGTGAGGAGATGTGTGTGGAGAATAACACTGACTCTGCCAAGCTGCAGGAAAATTACTGAAGTGTTTCTTTTCTTTAAATGGTTCTTTATGTGAGCCCCTGTCATTTTAATCTTTCTAAAAGGAATCGACCGTTTTGTTAATATAAAAAAAGCTATTAACTTTCATTACAGATTCATTTTGAGAGTGAGTTTGGAAAAAAAAGATTTGTAGAGATATTTTCCCATTAAGTTAATTAAGTTGCTTACACCTGTAGTAAATATGTATTGTGGACTTGTCATTTTGTTTTGTATTTTTCAATAACTTTTCGGGTTATAGTTGGGTAATATAGTCAGAAATTATAGCAGTTTGTTTTATTTTTTTTTATTGCCATCAATAAAGTCCTTTTATATTGGTAACCTTTAATAAAGTGATGAATTTTTTCCAAAGTAATTGTTTTGCCTGCTGTAAAAAAATCTATTCATAATTTTTAATTTAAAAGAATTCTCTATTTTCTGAAGCTGGCATCCTGTTTATCCTATTACACATCTTGCTTATTTTTTAGGTATTGGAAGAAATTTCATGTTACCCTGAGAATAATGATGCAAAGGAACTAAAGCGTATTTTAACACAACCTCATTTCATGGTAAGTACTAATTAAACTTCTATAGAACTAAAATCTCACTTCAAAAGAAGTTTTTAATAATCCTCGTAAAATGTGGCGGTCTTCATCAGATACGTCGTTACTCATACAATATCAGACTGTTAAGATTACAGTACCACTCTGAAACAAGTAATACGTTATATGTTAGAAAGAAGATAGTAGGAAGGAAAAATGAAGGGGGGAATCGGAGGGGGAGACGAACCATGAGAGACTATGGACTCTGAGAAACCAACTGAGGGTTCTAGAGGGGAGGGGGGTGGGGGATGGGTTAGCCCGGTGATGGGTATTAAAGAGGGCATGTTTTGCATGGAGCACTGGGTGTTATACGCAAACAATGAATCATGGAACACTACATCAAAAACTAATGATGTAATGTATGGTGACTAAGATGACGTAATAAAATAAAATTAAAAAAAAAAGATTACAGTACCAGGTAATACCAAATACATCAAGATCCTTTTTGTTTACTTTGTGTCATAGTCGTAAAGATGCTATTCCTAAGGTCGCTTCAAGGACTGTGTGGTCATCACACAAGGGATGTGCTTCCTGCTAGGATAGTTCTTAAGTCACTGGAACTGTGTATGGTACTTAAACCACGGAGAACTCAAACTGGAGACAGTTTTCACTAAAAAAGAATTCTCTGAACCTTGATGATTTATGGGAAGAATCCCATCTCTTGACGATGCAGACCTCTTACACTCTCTTCATGCATTTCTATTGTATGGAAAATGGGGACAGCACCTGTAGTTAGCGAGTTTTAACACTAAATGGTTAAACAGAACTCAAAATAGATGAGATACCTTTCTGTGAAAGAAGGTCCAGAATTGTCTACTTAACTGCAATTCAAAAGCATGATTACAAGTGGAAATTCATGTTAAATGTAACATTTTTTATTATGTTCAGTTAGCCACTGTATAGTACATCAGTTTTTGAATATAACATTTTTAAAACATTAGCTACATGGGGGGCCTGGGTGGTTCAGTCAGTTAAGCATCTGACTCTTGATTTCGGCTCAGGTCATGATCTCATGGGTCATGAGATGGAGCCCTGTGTCAGGCTCCATGCTCAATAGGGAATCTGCTCAAGATTCTCTCCCTCTCCCTCTGCCCCTCCACCCATTCGTGCTCGCTCGCTCTCTCTCTCTCTCAAATAAATAAATAAAATCTTAAAAAAAGGGTAGCATGGGTGGCTCAGTTGTTAAGCATCTGCCTTCGGCTCAGGTCATGATCCCAGGGTCCTGGGATCGAGCCCCGCATCGAGCTCCCTGCTCAGCGGGAAGTCTGCTTCTCTCTCTCCCACTCCCCCTGCTTGTGTTCCCTCTCTCGCTGTGTCTCTCTCTGTCAAATAGATACATAAAATCTTTTTTAAAAAATCAAAAAAAAAAAAAAAGAGCTAGGAGAGGTTGGCAGAGGCCAGACCAAGTCGGGTCTTCCAGGCTGTGGTAAGGGGTCTGGATTTTCTCCTGATGGTGGTAGGGCAACACTGAGTGACTGCAAGCAGGAAAATATGATCACATTTGTGCTTGAAAGAGAATGGATTCTGGTAGGGATAAGAATTCAAAGAGGGAGGCCAATTCGGAGGCTGTTGTGAAAGGTGGTAGAGGCTTGGAAAAGGATGGAGCTGGTGGGAAATGGGCAGGCTGCGATTCAACACTGGAGATGGTTGGACACGACAGGACTTGCTGATGGCTGGGATGTGAGGGAGTGTGGCTAACCCCATTTTACAGTTCAGAGAGGAGACTGCCCTAGGAAGGTAATGAGGCTTGCTAGAGGCCACTCACCTAGTAAGTGGCCTCGCTGAGGTTCAAAACCCAGATCTTGCGGGCTCCAATGCCCATGCTCTTAAAAGTTGGTTGACCTATAGTGAGGGTCCATTTTCCTATAAACTTAACTCGAGCTCACTGGTCATTCCCAAATAAGTATATGTTTAAATAATATCCCATGTGGAAAATATACTTCTGAGCTATATATACCATGTTAAATAAGCTTTTAAGTGCTGGAGCTTTTATCTTATAAGCATTTTAAAGTCATGGTTTCAAAATCTTGGTATTTTTAAAGAAATATTAATAGCTTAAAGGGAAATATTGTAATGCTTATGTTTTTATTATACTGAGGTTTGGGAGTTATTCTTAGCATAGTTATCATTCACACTTACTCAATATCTGGCTTTTTCTTTGCTTTCTGAACATTAAAACATGAGGGTTTAACATTGAATTACCTGACACTTAAAAATACAGATACTTGTGAATATTTACAGTAATTAAAGAATAAAAAGGAATAGATTTAAATTATTTTTTGAAGTCTGTATTCTATCTTTAGAGGTCATGATAAAAAATATTATCACACTAATCCTTTTTTCAGTTATTCCATTTGAAAGACTTTTTTACAAAAGAATAAATAGATCCTTTGCTTATTGCAGTTGTAATAAATAGGATCTAGGAGTGCCTGGCTGGCTCAGTCTGTAAAGCATGCAGCTCTTGATCTTGGGGTCATGAGTCCAGGCCCCACACTGGGCATAGTGCCTACTTAATTTAAAAAAATAAAATGAAAGAAAGGACCTAGAACAGAAGATTGTGAAAGCAAATTTGTATCCTACTTTCTCAAAAAACAAGACGGTTAAAATCACCTTGGGTTATCATGGTATTATTTAGTGGTCCATGGTATGATTTATAATTACGAAGCCAGAGAAGCCACTTTTCAAGCATAAAATTCATATTTTTCCTGTTCATTTTAAAATAGATGCTTTTTCACTGTAGTCTGAAGTTGTTGTCTTGTCCACGTCCTCACTAGAGTACAAAAAGTGAAAGTATTTCTTTCCTATTACATGATTCTTATGTAATTAAACCTAATAGCTATTTCAGCTTAGTAACAATTGCTCAGTTATACCTCATAACATATTTGAAGAAAAATATTCAAACTTAGATTTTCCTATTTTTTATTCTGCATATTCTTTTTTTTTTTAGATATTATTTATTTATTTTAGAGAGCATGCACATGCACGTGCTAGCAGAGGGGAGGCACAGAGGAAGGAGGAGAGAGAGAACGAATCCTCAAGCAGATTCCCCACTGAGCTGAGCAGGGAGCCGTTGAGGGGCTCCATCTCATGACCCTGAGGTCATGACCTGAGCTGAAATCAAGAGTTGTACACTTAACCAACTGAGTCACCCAGGGACCACTTGTATATTCTTTTTCACTGGCTTCTGTAAACAATCTATAAGTAGCCCCTTTTTTTCCTGTTTGCATATACATTCGAACTTTAGGGGTAAGTTTTATTTTGGGATAACAGTGGCAAAGCATGGTTAGCATCAAGTATGACCTTACACGGTGACATAATTTGAGTATTTTTCTATTAAAGTTCTATGTGGTACTATTTTGTGATTGTTGGGACTTATCCTTCCTTATAAAGAATACACTAAATACAAGTGTTTGCTTATATAATTTAAAAGGGTGACTAGAAATCATTTGCAAAAAACAGCAGAAACACTTTCTCCAACCCATTCTCCAGCCCATTCTCCTGATGAAAGCTTGGTTCTCCACTTGCCAGGCTCTATAGCCTCCAGTCATACAAAGCCTGCTTTTGGAAAATTCCCTGATTATGGAAGCTACATCTATAGTTGGTATGATGAACCTAATAGTAGCTGATGAAGTTTTTCCGTTTGTCTATTATTGATTTTTGCTTTCTGCCCTAAATATCAATCTCTTAAGTAGCCACAATTAACCCGGGAAAAGAGAGATTAACTCACAGAGCACAATCACCACCCTTGGGCCTGGGGTACCAGTGCAGGGTGCAGTCAGGGCAAGGGTCAGGAAGCCAAGGTCCCCAGGGCTTTCGTGGAGCCCTGCTCTCAAGCGGTGCACTGCTCAGTGCCCCCTCACCCGGACCCAAGTTTAGACCCGCCCTCTGTGATCTTGAAACTAGCTGCCATTTGCATGAGAAACCCAAACGCATATGTTGCTCCAAGCATATGCTCTACTGATGACAGATCAACACCACCTTCTTTACCACTTTACTGCATTGTTACCTTTTATTTTTGCCTCGTATGCATGCCTTTAAAATTAAAATAACCAAGTCATGACTTTAATAAGTTTTTTAATTAAATAACTTAATTTGAGATGCTAAGGGTTATACTTTTAAAGCAGTTTTAATTGCATTTCATTATTTCTGGATATTTCATTACCACGCAGATCACAGATTGAAACAGAACTGAGTTTGTAGTTAGCACGCAAGAAAATATCTGTGCAAAGCTCCAAACATTACTGATATTCGGCCGTAAAATTCTCTTTGAAGTAGAAATGTTCAAATATTCATGGCTATTAAAAAACTTTTATGATGACACAAAAAGTACAGTAAATGGGAGAATATCCTTTTTTAGGGAAACCAGGGATCTTGATTTTCCAGTTTCACCAAGATAACATATGCAGATATCAATACAAAGAAATCACTTTTTCTTTGTTCACAGGCTTTGCAAAAATATTGATAATAGTAACTGTCAAGTTATTTTTCATTTGGGCAAGTGCTCCAAAAAATAAAAATAACAAAAGCATTACATAGATTGAGACTTTGAGCTCATATCGTATGCGATATTTTGGAACATTACATTTTTTGGGGCACACTGGTGTGTGTTTTCATTCCTTTTACTAAGTCATATGTTATAAATTATCTTCATCCTTTGGGTTATATAAAAGAGTTCTTGGGGGAGCACCTGAGTGGCTCAGTCAGTTAGGCATCTGCCTTCCGCTCAGGTCATGATCCTGGCCAGCATCCTGGGATCGAGCCCCGCATCGGGCTCCCTGCTCAGCAGGAAACCTGCTTCTTCCTCTCCTACTCCCCCTGCTTGTGTTCCCTCTCTCGCTGTCTCTTTCTCTGTCAAAAAATAAATAAAAATTAAAAAAAAAAGTTCTTGGTTAATACTATCCAGAAAGATATTTGCTCAAAACTACAATTATTGCATTGTTTCTTTTTAAATGTGTTCCCATTGTAAGCCCCAGCCCAAATTTGCCACCTCTATTTACAGATGATTCTTTCTACTAAGTTGTTTGAAATTGCATTATGTCTGCCTTTATTTGAAATAACACACTTCTGCTGGAATAGTGCTATTAACAATATTTTTCCTTTCTTCATAAACTACCAGGCCTTACTTCAGACTCACGATGTAGTGGCACATGAAGTTTACAGCGATGAAGCATTGAGGGTCACACCTCCTCCCACCTCTCCCTATTTAAATGGTGATTCTCCAGAAAGCGCCAACGGAGATATGGATATGGAGAATGTGACCAGAGTCCGCCTGGTCCAGTTCCAAAAGAACACAGATGAGCCCATGGTAAGTTTTCTAGACTCTCAAGTCCCAGCCTGAATTAGGGCTCCCAACTTCAGCCTACAATACTAGGGGGCGGGGAGGGAAGGAGGGCACCAGAGTGTTAAAGCGGCCTGTTTCCAGATCCTCCACCACCTCCCAACCCGCACCAGAACTGTTCCCGCTAAGGCCATGCCTGAGGCCTCCTCCCACCTCTCCTTTCCCAAATGCTCTGCAACTTCACCAAAAAAGGACCTACCTGGTACAGTACTCCAGGAAAAACCTTGGGGGCACAATTTGAAATACTGGCATTGAAAAAGCGAATGTCTAATGACATTGTGAAAAACATCCTCACAAGATCTGTTGCCTTCAACACAACCAGAGGAAGACTAATTTGGAAGGCATCCCAAGAACTGAGCAATGTGGCTAAAATAACATTCCTTCCATTCACATCTACCTCATTTAATATGAATTCATTTTCTCGGGGTGTAGGAACAGCATCAGAATGGAATTGATGCTGAACCTGCCTCATTGTCACAGAATCCTCATAGATGGGGAAAGGAAGATCGAGGAAAGGCTCCTTGGTGTTCACCGAGCAAAGCGGGGCATGGGGCAGGAGGGCAGAATGGAGACCATCCAGGCCCACCAAGCGGCGTGTGCGGAAGCCCACTAGTCAGAAAGGCTCTTCGCGTAGTTTCAGAATGGAAAGAAGGCACCACGGCTGCCATGTAGGAAATGGTGCCTGGCAGGAATGGGACACATGAGTGTTGAAAGAAAGACATGTTAAGGATTCTGTTCTTTGTCTCAAAGACAGTGGGAGGGTCTTAAAGAGTTTCAAGCAGGAAGAGAAGATCAGATTTGCATTTTCAAAAGACACCCTCCAGAGAATGGATTAGAGGAGAACGAGCCAGGTTCTAGGGAGACCAGTGAGGAGGTTATTGCTTCAGGACCGGGGAGAGCGGATAGGACTGGGAGCTAGAGGCGCGGATACCAAATGGAAAGAAGTGAACAGACTTAACAAAAAAGTAAAATCAATAGACCTGGATAATAGATTGACGGTGGGCACTGAGGGAGAAACAGTTACCAAGGATGTCCCTTAAGCTTTAGATTTTCACAACCAGATGGACAGTGATGCTACCCATTGAGAGAAAGACTGTTGGAAAAGTTCCATATTTGGGGGAAGAATCCTATCTTTAGGGGGAAGAGGGGGAAAAAGCATTCAAACTTAACGCATTCATATCTTTCCCTCAGAGCCTAGAAAAGGGATATTGGGATATGGAAAAACAAATTCCCTTCTTAACAAAGTTGCCCAGTTGCTTTCCAGATTAAAGGGAGAGCTACAGAGCAGTGATTCTCTGACTGTGATTTCCAGCCCTCAAGCCTAGATGTTTCCGGTTGTAATTCTCACTCACTGATCTCTGCTCAGCACTTGCAGTAGGCAGGGGGCATGTGAATCACTTCACCCCTTTTTGGTGCCATCCAAACAACCCTCTGGCTTAAGAGCACAGGCAGTAACTGCAGCCTTTGGCTGCCTTGGGCAGATCACTTCAAGTCTGCTCATACTTTGCTTAGCAATTATTGCCAGAAGCATACTTGACTAAATGACCCCCAAGATCCCACCTGGCTCTGAAGGTCTGATATCCATTTATTCATATTATCTATTCATTCACTCATTTAGCAAATGTTTGTTAAGTGCCTACTGTGCGCAAATCACTGTGTTGGATGCCAGTGATGTAGCGACAGGTAAGACATGGCCCCTTCCCAGAGCTCACTTTCCCCAGGGCTGCCGGCATCAAATAAGTAAGTAGGCAGTTTAGCACAGTTTGCTAAACACGAACAGTTACGATAGAGCTATAAAGGAGAGAAGGCTATGTCCAAGAGGCAAGAAGAAGTGGTGACGTTCAGCCAAGCAAAATAGACAGGAAAGCTGGAGGGGACCACAGGAAGGAGGCCCAGAAGTGTCCTGTGATCATCATATTCTAAAGCAGCCCAATGACATTTGTGTGATCTTTTCTATGGAGGCTCACTACCTAAACACCATAGACTGAGTAAAAGTGTATCCTTCAGTTACTTTTCTCAGAAAGCATAAAATGGCCCTGAGTCTCCCCTAAAAGTCTCCTTAAAAAAAGCCTTTCTCTGTTCTGTCTTTGATCCTACTGAAAGTGTGAGTTCTCCCTTTGAATGGTTGCCATAAAAATGGGAATTATTTGATGTAAAATAGATATTTTCCATAATGGAATACAGTTCTCTGTTACATTTAATACAGCTTCATTTGCTTGGTTAGTTGTCTTATTAAAAGCATTATATTACTGTGCAGGATATGCCTATATGATCTCTTTTGCTTTTCGGACCTTCTGTAATGTGTCCAACTATGTTAGATCCACCCTACAAGGGTGATACACTCCCATTTACACCCTTGTTTTCCCATTTGCAACTTCACCTTGAAATTACTCTCAGTTGATTGAGACTCCCTTAGTTGCAAGTGATGAAGACCGGACTTGAACTAGCTTGGACAATAGGGGAAAGGCTTATGTAAACAAGGAAAGGCCAGGAGTCTACCCCAAGCTGGGGGTAGGTTCATGAGTAGGCACCCATCCCAAGCTGGACCAGTCCCTTCCCTGGAATTTGGGAACTTGGGAACAGAGAGAACATGAGTCAGTTCCTCTCTGCAAAGAAATGTTTGGGGCAGACAAAATAATAAATGTTATTAACTCTAGTCAGTTTGAGGTGAACTTCCCCCTAGTCATAAGAGACCCTGTCTGTCTCATCACTGTTGTCTGTTCACTAAGGAATAGTCTTATTCATTATGTGCCTAGCAGAGTACCTGCCCACATAACAGGATCGCAGTAACATTGGTTGAATGAATACATTAATTTATTAATTTCAAGGATTGAACCCCCATCATACTGTCATTTCCCTTATGAAATTAGAGTTAAGTTACACATTAATTTATAGCATTTCTCCAGGAACACCTCTCTTGGTAACCTACGTGCTGATTGAATATACAAGTTGGAAATGAAACTTGAACATTACAGTTGAACATTGGGACTAGAAACATTTTGATATACCAGTTTTTCACATTGCTTGCCTACCACTTCTAAGAACTGCAAAATAGGAACCAAGCAAAGTTACATTTTTGTGGAATTGTGCAGATTCAGAGTCTAAATTATAAAGGTTCAAATATTTTCATGAAGCTTTCCAACAGAGTATTATTCTCCAATGAAGAAGATAAGACAGTCCCCCTACCCTTATCTCAAATGCAAGACCGGTTTTCACCAAGGGAACTTGTTAAAAATATAGATTTCTGGGCTCCATTCCAGACCTCCTGAATCTAAATCCAAAGAGTGAGTTTAAAAGACAGTATTATTTAAAAGGTCCCCATGTGATTTGTGGGATCAGCCAGGTCTAGTACAAAAAATATGCTTATGAAAGTTTATCTTAGAGAGTAACGGGAAAACAAAAAGTAATCTCTATAGACCAATAGTCTGGCATTAAATATGTGGAGCTTCTACTTCTGGCCAAGATGGAGTAACAAGGACCAGATTCACCCTCTCACCTGAAATAACCAAAGAAAAACGTAAAAGCGAACAAAATTACATGAAAGAACAATTTTCAAGACATTGGACATCAGGCAACAAAGGAAAATGAACCCTAAGAGACAGGAAGCACACAGGGTGAGCCCTATGATTGCCTGACCTTAGTGACTTGAGAGAGTTTCCAGGCCACAGCACAGGAAGGGGGAGCTGAGGCAGAGCAGGCAGACACCCTGAATTGAGGAGACAGAGCTGAGAACCCGAGGAGACCTAGGCACCTCAAGTGCATCGGACAGAGGACTGAAGAAGAGAGAGCTGTGCAGAGAGAGAACCCCAGAGATCTGTAGAGGGTCCCCCTGAAGTAGTCATCTGAGTTATGATCAGTGCATTTATGAGAGGAAACTACCCAGAGCCAAGGAAAGACCATCCAAAAGGATTAGAGGGAACAGTACCCAATACTCACTGCCCATTAGCCACCAGCTGGCCTGGAAAACAAATTCGTGGGGCACTGCAGAGGGTGCACAGGAAGATCTTGTCTCAGTAAGGAGAATAATTAGCCCTAGGCTCAGAATTGCTCAAGACCTGCCTAACAGATCATGAAAGCAAGACCCAGAGGATCAAACTAATTGACCCAAGTAAGTGAACTATATCCCAGAACAAAGCCTTAGAATATTTATAGGAATAAAAAACTTCTTGGGGCGCCTGGGTGGCTCAGTTGGTTAAACGACTGCCTTCAGCTCAGGTCATGATCCTGGAGTCCCAGGATCGAGTCCTGCATCGGGCTCCCTGCTCGGTGAGGAGTCTGCTTCTCCCTCTGACCTTCCCCCCTCTCATGCTCTCTCTCTATCTCATTCTCTCTCTCAAATAAATAAAATCTTTTTTAAAAAAAGGAATAAAAAACATCTAGCATGCAGCAAGATAAAATTTACAATGTCTGGCCTTGAATCAAAGATTGCTAGGCAATAAAATCTTGAAAAAAAAAAAAAAAAGAACTGGATGCTTAACCAATTGAGCCACCCAGGTGGGCGCCTGGGTGGCTCAGTCGTTAAGCGTCTGCCTTTGGCTCAGGTCATGATCCCAGGGTCCTGGGATCGAGTCCCACATCGGGCTTCCTGCTCAGCGGGAGGCCTGCTTCCCCCTCTCCCACTCCCCCTGCTTGTGTTCCTGCTCTCGCTATCTCTCTATCAAATAAATAAATAAAATCTTAAAAAAAAAAAAAGATTGCTAGGCATGTAAAGAAGGGGGGAAATGTGACTGAAAATGTGAATAATCAAAACTGACAAAGATATCAGAATTAGCAGAATGGGATTAATGGCAGATCAGACATTTGAGAAGAAAAGATTAGTGAACTCAGAGATACAGCAATAGAAACGACCCAAAATGAAATACATAAAAAGAATTTTTAAAAATGAAAAAAGCAGGGGTGCCTAGGTGGCTCAGTTGGTTAAGCATCTGACTCTTGATTTTAGCTCAGGTCATGATCTCAGGGTCATG